CATTTTTAATTTATATTAATATTATTATAATAATAAAGTTTTTTTTAATTTAATTTTTTTCAAATTAAAAAAAATGCTATTTTTTTTTGTCAGAACTGTATACAGTGTATATATATATAAAGCAAACAAATTAAAAAATTTAAAAACAATGAAAATAAAATCTTAAAATCATAAAAGCAATTAAAAAAAAATCATTCAAATATTAATAAATAATTTTCAAAACAAGATTATAGTTTATAAAATCAAAATCAAAAATCAAAAATATATAAAATATTTTGTTTTAAACAAGAATAACATTTTAAATTAAATAAAATTTTTAAAAAATAAAATAATAATTTTGATCTTTCAATAATTAATAAAAAAAACAATACAAATTCAAACCTAAAATTTAAAAATAAATAAATAAAATTTATTATTATATTGAAAAAAAATTTTTTTATAGGATTTTTTAAATAATAAAATAGCAAACTTATTTAATATCAAATATAAATATTAAAAAAAAAATACTATATAATTTTTTAATCTATTTTTTAATTTAAAAACAATATTTAAATTTTTAAAAAATAATTTTTATATTTATTCTTTTAAAAAAAAAAAACAATAATAAAAACTTAACAATATAAGATTTATAATTTTATTAAAAACAATAATAAAAACTTAACAATATAAGATTTATAATTTTATTAAAAACAATATATATATACATTTTTATCAAAATAGTTAATAATTGTTTTTTAAAAATGCTTTTTATATTTCAAAAAAATACTTACAAATATATTGATTAGCAGAGTTATACTATATTCTCTTTGAAAATATAATTCTTGCTAATAAAAATTAATACTTTTTATTTTTCTATAAAAATTTTATTTTGATATAATATTTAATCTTTGTTTATAAAGTTGAATATCTTGTGATTAAATTTTATTTAATTATAATAGATAACAATAATAATATTTTACTTGAAACAGAAAACAAATAATCAATTCTAATTAAAGATTTTTCAGATTAGATAAAAATTGTTAAAAAGATATAAAGAGTTTAAGCTGATTATAAATATATATATTAATTATAAAAGTATATAAATAGGATTTTTATTTAGAACAATAAATAGTTTGTTTCCCTTTGTAATTATACAATCACATTCTATAGATTTTAAAGAATTTACTTTAGATTAGTATAGGAATTCATATATAAATATGTATATCTTTTTTTATTTTTTTTTACTTTTTTAAATTTCAATAAATTTAATTAGAGTCAATAGAATATAAAAATAAAAGAAAGCTAAATTATAAAAGATATTATAAAAATCTTAAATAAAGCAAAAACTAGTTTTAATTTATAATTGATTTTTTAAAATTACTATAGAATAAAATAAAAAAACAAAAAATAATTAAAATTTTATTAAGAAAAAATAATAATAATAAATTATAAGCAGTAAATTTAAGTTTTTTTTTTAAAAAAAGAAGAATAGTTTTTTTAAAAAAATTATATTTAAAGATTAAAATTTAGAACAAATATTTAAATATATAAAAATAATTTAATTTATTTTATTTTTTTTTTTTTCCCTCAATCAGGTTGGTGTCGTTTATTTATTAAATCAAAATGAACCATTATAAATATAAATTGTATGTATAAATTTCCCTGACCCAGCTCACCCGTCTGTGACCAAAGAGTCTCTAGATGCGATTTATGGGGATGATGTATTGCTCGTCTATTAATTGGGATTAAGATCCTATTTGTTTAATAGAGTCAAAGCCTGCAGATTATCTCTACAGAATATATAAAAATAATTTATATAAAAATATTTATATACAATTATATATATATTTTTTAAAGATTAAAAAAAATAATAAATATTGTTTGATTATTAAAAAATCTTATCTGTTCATTATTAATTTTTTTGAAAAATTTCTTTTTATAATACTTTCTTTTAAAAAGTACTCTTATTTTCTTTTTTATATATCAATAATGCCATAAGTTCAAGAATATAAAAACTTAAGAACTAATTTTATATTGAAAAACAGATTTATATTTTGATTTTTTTGTTTAATATTGTTTAATTGATTTTTTTTTAAATATCTAAAAATATATATTCAAAACTATTTTGTATTTTATTTACGTATTTATTTTTGCATTAAAGTTTTAAAAAATTAATATTCTAATATTAAATATTGAATTATATTAAATTTTTTTACTTATTATAAAGTAAAATTGTTATATAAAGAATTAGTAAAATTTCAAATATTGTAAATACTATATATAGTATATAATAAAATATACATGTATATGACAAATTTAATATCTAAAATTTGCAATTAAATTTAAACCTTGTATTTTTTATTGAAATATGTAAATATTTTTTAATTAATTTAAATAAAAATTGTTTGGATTGTTTTTATTTAATAAATCAAAAACTTTTTTTACAAATAAATTAATATTTAACTTATTTATAAAGATATGAGATTTGTAATATAAATTGTTAAATAACATAAATAAAGTATCAATACCTTTTACATAAAAAAAATCGAGTTAAAAAATATACTTTTAAATATTCTAATATTATTTAAATAAAAGAAATAATAATGGATTTCTTATGTTTGAAAATTTACAAAAAATCAAAAAATGTTAATAATATGAACGTTTTTGTCTCAACCATATAATAAAAGTCTCACTTAAAATTAATACCATCAATTGAAAAAACAAAGAACTCCCACTTTAGCTCATTTATTCTACATAAATGTTTGACTCTCTCGACTAGGAAATACATTGTACCTGTTTCTATTTACAACACAATAAAAATAATAAAACTTCTATTTAAGTATGATTTAAGAACATCAAATCTAAAATTTTCCATCACTGGATTAACGTAAATCAATGATTTCTAGATCCATTCGTTTCATTTCAACGTGACCGTTATGTGAAATTTCCTACAAGAAGGAAGAATAATAAATATTTGAAACGTTGGTATGTTGAAATAAATGAATAACATACCTTTTCAATAGGTGAACTCGAATCATGAGGATGAAACCCTCTTTGTGTACATTGAAGCACTGTTTGCAGACCCGGTGGATTTGTAAGGCGGAATATTCCAAATCTATATAATTATAATTTAAAATGATGTCACTCACAATAAATTAACAATATTAACACAAAATATAATTGACGGCTACTTTGGTTGATGTTTAGGAGAACAGACAATAGCTATTGCTTCTGGAGAAATAACTTGGTAGGACGAATGCGTATGTAGATCCATTGAACTCATGAAGCAAGTTTGAGAAGGATGCGTCTAAAAAAAGCACAATTTAAGTCAACGCAAATAAAAACAAAAAATAAAAATAAAATTGTTATATATGATTTACATGAATCCAACCGAGCATTATCAAGCCCTTCTGTTCTTGATACTCAATAAGCTCTTCTTCATTGGTCATTGTGCAAGTATCAGAGGTTGCAGTTTGTTTAGGAATAATAAGTGTAGTAACATAGAAAACGTTGCGCGTCTGAAATAAGTTTAATATAATCGTTAAAATCAAGAAAGAAGCAGTCACTGTTTAATAAACAATAGTTAATTTACCAACACTCCAAACAAGATTCCGCAGGTCTCCAAGTTCTTGGCAGTATTATTTGCCGCTATCTTGATAAATACATCATATATGCTATCTGAAAGGCATACTTTTCTCAGTCCTTCTCCACCTTCAGTGTAGGCTGCAAACTCTGTATAAATTGTATTGAGGTTATTTATTTCACCATGTAATTAGATAGTTAATAAAAAAAGTCACCAAAAATTTTACCCGGTGGAGGTTCAACTTTGTTATCAGCCTTCTCAGAATGTAAATTTAAATCGTATCCTCTCGGTTTAGGAGGAATCTTTGGTGCATCATGCATTATTTTTGGAGGTAATGCTGGCGATGGTATTTCACGAGCTGTATATGTATATCTGATTGCAATATGTATACATTTAATCAATGTATTTTCAAAACCAACCATTTACTTGAAGCGAATAATTAACAATACCCATCACTCTGATTTCTAGTAGAAATGCCGGGATATTGCACCTATTATATATAAAGTCAGTATACCTTATACCGGTCAAATCACGTTGCAATTAGAAATAAGAGAATCACCGTGAGATGAGGTTGCTCTTCCATAGTGCTATAGGATTAATTATATATATACTGAGCGATTATATACGACTTGATGTGTTTGATTATTAAATACATTCAAGTAATGTCTTACATTGTTTTCGAGGATGTACCGAGGTGTAAGTTTTTCAATTGTTCGGCAAGATCCCACTCGGTGTTTGAGACAGGAATTACCTGCGGAGTTTGACTTTGATATTCAACCTGCACATTCAGATTTCGAGTTTTTTCAGCCGCTTCTTCTTCAGCAACTTGTAAAAAATATCGTTTTAACTTAGGTTTCAATTCTTCTATTTCTTTGAGGACTAAATTGCTAGTCTAAAAGTGACAAAATGAGTATGTTGTCGTTCGCAATCAATTATAATTTTAAATAAAAACATACTTTAACGAGTTCTAATCTTCCACTTTTATACTCTGGCTTCTTATAATCTGAGTTTTGCGGTAATTTTTCGAGTGCCAGCCTACGGAACGTTTATTTTGCGCGAATTTATCAAACATGCTATTGTCGCGACGGATTTTTATGATGTAAATTACCAAATTCCATGGTGAAATTAATTACGTGGCATATCTCATGTAGAATTTATACGCGTTCAACAAGTCATCTTCTTCCTTGTAGCGATTGGCCTACATCGAGTGTAAAAATGAGCAAATGGGTAAATAAATGCAACCTATGATCTTTTTTTTTAACCTAAAGGTACCTGCAAAAATAGTGAATTTGCTGAACGGAGGTAAATCTTTAAAGGCACATTCGGCATATATTTTAGCTGGGAAGCCTCTTCAACGAGTTTCTTCATCGCCTTATTGGCAGCTTCTTCCGCATCCATGTTTGCAGAATATTGACCCTTACGTTAGGGAAAGTATATATAAATTTGCAAATAATCATGTAGATCATTAAATTATACGCGAAATTGTTAATATATAAAAAAACAAAAATATTAAACCATTTAAAAAATCACATAATATTAAAGATTAAATTTTTAGAATAAATTCAATAAAAATCAAGCAAGATTATACCTTTTAAAAATTATATTTAAAAATATCTTTACATTAATCTAATAACAAATAAAAATAAAATAAGCATTATATACAGTATTAGGTATTTTAAAAAAAAAATAATAATAAAATAATTTTTCGAGTTTGTGTTACATTTTTGTCCATATAAACGCAGAAATTTTCAATTTGTTAACCCGATCAAAAATTCAAACTTTAACGATGCCAAACTATGTAATTCATACCAAAGCATACCTAAAGATAATTCTTCACGCTTGTAAACATCCTTTCGCTGGCGTAAATGGAATTCTTCTTGCCGAAGATTCCGAAATCGATAATGAGATAAGAATTGTTGACGCTGTTCCGTTATTCCACCGTTGGGTCACGTTAACACCAATGCTGGAAATTGGATTACAACAGGTATTCTAAATGGATGGAATTACACTTAAATCTATGAATATTTTTATTTATAATGTTTCTACTTCTATAAGGTGGATGTATACGCTAGTAAAAATAATCTCAAAATTGCCGGTTATTATCATGCTAATGAACGAGTTGATGATAACAAGTTACCACTATATGGTCAAAAAATTGTTTCAAAAATACACGATAATTTTAACAAAGCTATTGCGCTTGTGGTATGTATTTAATAAATTATTCCATACTTTGTCGGTCGATACTTAATCTTGAATTAATTTTTAGGTTCAGAACACAAAACTATCACCCGAAAATCCAGAGATTGCAGTCGTGGTAAGTTTCTTTTGCGTTTTTAGAAAATTGGGTTTCGTGTACTAAATTTTTTTTTTCTTGTACTCGTAGCCTTATACTTTCAAAGAAAATCAATGGCGTCCGGACAACAAAGCATTTTCATCAAAAACCGAATCATCAACTGCTAATTCATTCTCATTTGAGAACCCCAATGCACCCGATCTAATATCACAATCAATTCAGAAGAGACATTTCGAACACTTATATGATTTCGACGAACACATGGAAAACATAGAATTAGATTGGCTGGTTAATCAAAAAGTGGAAAGTTTGGAAATTGAAAATGATAAGAAACGGAAATGAATTTATCAAAGGAGATGCATTTATTACAATTTTTTTAATCTTAAATGAATGTTCAACTCTTCACTTCTCATTCCATTGGTGCCCACAGTCATGATTACAGCATTTATAGAATATTGACATTGGTTCATCGGCTGAACGAGTTTGAATTTGCATGTAGTATGCTCTTGGATGTTCGCATTTTGGGCACCTCGCTTGTAGATTAAAAAGGATATTAATCTTTGATTTAAAAATTCTCTTCGAATTAATTTTTCAATTGTGAACTTACCTTCCGTCGAATCAACATTTTTCCATGCTTCTTCACCGCCTAAAACATCGTCAACTTCTTTCCGTTTCAGGATGGTTCGATTTTTATACTGTTCAAAAAAAAAATTTGTCAAAACGATATAAATTTCAATTCTTTTTTAAATTATCCGTGAATGGCTTACAATCTGTTGACCTATTTTACTACCGATAGGAAATACATATGGGCAAGTTTGACAATAAAATGATTGTTCTCCCTGTGTATGACTTTTTATCAAAAGTATATTTCCGCAGCACGGACAGAATAACATTTTTAGATAATTGCTTTCTGATCGTCAGACCAACCATCATGTTTAAAAGATCACTACTATAGTCATGTGACTTGTGTATTGTTGGTATACTAATAGAAAAAAATTAAAAGTTTATAAATTTTACAAATATCTTTTTTTAAAAATATTAAAATAATAAAATAAAAAAAAATTATAAAAAAAATTAATAATTTAAATAAATAATTTTTTTTAACTACAAAAAATAGCTTTATAAATTTTTATAATTAATAAAATTTTTATTTATTAATATCTTATAAGTAAAAATACAAAAATACAATATAACTATTATATTATAGCTAAACAATTTACTTGTTATAATATATCTATTAATAAGTTTAATAAATTTATATATAATCTTAAATTGCTTATATAAAAATTATTATATTGCTTATATTATTTAACTATTTATTAACTATTTTATTATAAAAAAACATATTTATTAAACTATTATTATATAATATTAATTATTTTAAACTTTAAATCTTTTTAATTTTTAAGTAAGATTATAAAAAATAAGAATATTATTTATTTTTAAAAAAAGCAATATATAACAATATTTTATAATTTATATTAAAAGATTATTATTAGTTTATATAATATATAAGTTATAATTCACTTATATAAATTTATAATAAATATAAATATTAAATTATTTTTTTAATCTATATATTAATTTATTTATTTATTTGTTTAAAATTAAAATTAAAACTATTTTAAAAGCTATTTAATCAATATCTTTTACTTCAAAACTATATTATCAATATCTTTTTTATAATTTATTTTTATTTCTTATAATTTATAAAGATTTATAAAAATATTTAATGATATTAATGATAATATAATTAATAAATTACTTAAAACTTGATTATTTCAAAAAAGAAAAATAATATATAATAAAAACTATAAAATAAAATATTTTATTAATTTTAAAGAAAAAAAAAATTAATTAAGAATTATTTACTTATATTGAAATTTATTATTATATAATAGAAATTCTGAAATTAAAAAGATAAAATATTATAAAAATCCAATTAAATATTTGAAAATTATTGTAATTTCTTATAAATTAAATAATATAAAATTTAATTTTGTTAAAATAAGAGATACTTTATTAAGTTTTAATTTTCAAAATCAATATAAAAATATTAATAATTGTAAAAAAAATTTTTTTTTAAATTTATTAAATATTATAAAATTAAATTTTAAATATTAATTGATTTTTTTAAAATAATTAAAAAAGATTAATAATATTTTTAATATTAATAAATAAATATTATAAATTAATTAATTTATAAAATTAATATATTTATTTATTATATTAATATATTAATAATAATATTTTTAAGATTTTATAAAAATTTAAACAAACATAATTATTTAAAAAAATAAATCTCTAAATATATTTTATATAATAAAAATATAAAAATGTTTTTTTAAGTTTGGATTTTTCTTATAAATAAAAAAAAACTTAAGAATTTTTTAAAGTTAATAATATAAAATTAATTTTATTTCAAAATTAATTTATATTTAAAAAACAATAAAAAAACAATAAAATAAAAATAAAAAATTTCAGATTTTTTAAAAACATTTTTATATGAAAATTATATTATAAGAAGTTTATATTTAATAGAATTATTATAAGTTTTTAATAACAATTAAATTTTTTTAGATATAATTAACAATATAATTATAATATATTAAAAATTTTATAATAATAAATATGATATTTTTATTAGTAAAATTAAAAATTAAAACAAATATCAAGTTTAATATACAGTATATTAATTAGAAATAGATTATATAAATTATTTTGTATTTATTATAAATTTAATCTTTTAAAGATAATAATTTTTGATTTAATTATTTTTAAATCCATACTATAAAAAGATTTATTGTTTTTATTATATAAATTTTTATTTTTATTTCTAAAAAAGTTATTAAAAAAGTTATTATAATATTATTTTGATCTTGTTTTGATATTTTAATTTATTATAAATTTATATAAATAGATTACAACTTATATATTAAATTTACTATAAATTAATATTATTTCAATATCAATTCAATACTTTTTCAAAATCTTATCTAGAATCAAACTTAAACTACTTATTTGTGAAGTGTTCTTATTTTTATCTTTAGATATAAGTTAATATAGCTAGATTTATAAGGTGAATTGGTTAGGTTAAACTTACAGTTAATAGTAATATTAGCAAATATAGGATTTTAAATGTATGGCTCAAATTACCTAATATTCAATAAAATATAATATTGTATTTCAACTTAAAAAAAAATTATTTATTTATGTAAGCTACCATATATATATAAAGTGGTTATCACGTGTAAACGTTTTCGACACCAAATTTCTTTTTATAATCAACTGTAAACGGCTGATTTTTGATCCACCCGCTGCTAATACTGCCGATGTGAGCTATATTTGCCTTACGTTCACATTTGCGGTACCCACTTTGCTCTATCAAGAATCCATGCATAATTGATCCAAATTTATATTCCCCTTCCCCGAGAATGAACGCCATCTCTACGAATCATTATCCTATCAAATCCATTTAGTGAATGATCTACACCATATAAGCCGTGAGAAAGTAAAATAATAAAAAATAACAATTTGCTTAGACCAGTGTTCATTTACGATGGTGAGCGTCCTAAACATGTAAACCGAATTACTTGAAATGAACCATTTTTGTTATTTTGTCTTAAAAATGAAAAATGAATTAAGTCTGCCCATTTTATCAAAAAGAATATTTTACTTCTAGCCCTTGTGGGCCTCGGAAGTCTCGGTCAAAGTATGGCTTGTTCTTTAATGAATTAAAATTTTTAAACGTTTAATTCAAAATTCTGTATATCTTCTATAAGGTTTTCCGATGAGTTCAAATGAGACATCACATAACGACAATACTACTTCTTCCGAAGGTTTGCGCGTCATTTTCAATTCGATGCGCAGGAAAATGAACATATGTATCTCATGATTGACCTTTAATTCATTGTATTTATATTCATGTCATAAGTACCTCCCGTAGAAGAAATTGAAGGTTCCTGGTGGCTTACAGGAATATCGGTATGTACTTTTGTTGTATTTAAGAAACCAAATAAGCTACTCTATTAATCATGTAATCAATCACCCATCAGATAGTCGGAACAACCATTATATTTGTCGTGACCGTCATTTTCAGTTATCGTCGTTCCAATCGACTAAAACCGAATAACAATTTCTTTGCTCTCCAACCTCGGAATTCATCGATCGATTTTGATCCCATATTACACAGAGGTTTGCTAGATGAGGAAGAATCTACGGCTTTGGTAGGAAATTCGGACAGTAATCTTCCTCGATATAAAGATGATGACGAAGAAGTTGGTAAGATTGATGATCATACAATAGAAAGATATGAGGATGATGTCGAGGAAGAGGCCGAACCTTCCGAGAACCAAGTCCTTGAGGAACAACGACAAAATCTTTTTAGTATTGCTGATGAAGAGGAGGATGATGAAAATTAAGTTATAGAATTTATTTAAGAAAATATTTTGCTTAAAAAAGTCCACACAATTTTTTTTTTCCGAGTTTTTTTAGGGAGTTAGTAACAATTTCTTATATTTATAATATTGTGAATATTAGATTATTTTTGAATAAAAGTGGTATCCATATTTTCTTAATTCAAAATTACTACCATATTGTATATTAATAATTTATACATTGGATTCAAGAATCTTTTGTATCTAAAACTACAGTTGCATCACATTTTTTGATAAAATTTGATTTATACGTTAAAGATAGGTTTTCTTTATAATCATGAAAATAGTATTATAACAAAAGTTTAAAAATTTAGAATATTTTTCACAATTTTCAAGACATTTTGGTCATTCCCGAAAAATATAAATAATATTTGTTATTTTTACTCGACAACAAATATCTCTTGACATAACCTTACATAGATTTATTTTTTTACGATTATTTATTCAAAAAATATCTATAACAAAAAGAGAATCTATTTAATAGTGTTTACTAATTATAAGGAAAATCAAGCTATATATAAAATTTTTTAAAAGATACAATTTCAAATATAAAATAAAAGTAATAATATTTATTAAAAAAAAGAAATTTTAAAAAAATCAAATAAATTTCCGAGTAGATTATTGGTTGGGAATCTAGGTCTTAATTATGTTCGGCGAATTAAATTTTTAAATGAGTTAGGAAATTTCGATACGACCATATCCAATAAGAATAAGACACTTTGAGGAAAGGTGGCTGGAATTACTGCATAATTCGAAAAAATACGTGCGTTTGGTAAACAACAACCTCTCATGTCTGTACCGACGTCGTCACCTTCTGATAATTCTAACTACAATTGCGCAAATGGCAAGGTTAGAATATTTATTCGTTCACCAACTACTCCATCTCCCGAAGATTTTTCCGTACTAATTAATCTAGACTCGTCGGTTCTGGCATTGAAACAAGCAATCTTTGAGACTCATCCACAAAAACCCATTGTTAGAGACCAGAAGTTAATTTATAGAGGAAGAGTACTGAATGATACAGACACTATAGTGAATGTTTTGAGAAATGGACTGGAAACAGATCAAACATTTCATTTAGTTGTTAAACCTTCATTTCAAGCGATTGCCGAAACAACAGGAATTCCGATCTCTCCACCCAGTTCGTCCTCTCAAAGTATTCGAATACCTCAAGAAAACACATCTAACATAACTAATCCACAAATCAACATACAAAATCAAAATCAGAACTATGGTCCTAACGGATTTGTGGATTTCGTTCACCAAATTCCTTATGTTTATACACCTCCAAACTTTGCGCAATATCCTTATGTTGTTCCATCTGAAAATGCACAGACTGCTCAAACGCAGCAACAATTTCCAAACAACATGCAACAGCAACTGCATATTCCCATGAGTCATAATTTCTTTCCAATGGGTCAATATTATTATGTCATGATTAAGTGAGTTTGATGCCTGTAACTTTTTTCCTGAGAGTTTTTTGTTCTCACCGAGAATTTCTAAATGCATGAATTGATTTCGTTCAGTGGGATACCGTATATTGCCCAATATCCATACCCATACCCATACTCATATCAATACATAATTACACCGCAAATCGGCACGCAAGCACAGCAACCTTTTGCCGGTCAGATTCCCGATCCGCAACAAGATGTTGCCGCGAGAAATCAACGTCGAGCCGCAACGTTGTGGTTAATCGTAAAATTGTTTTTCTTGGTATATATTTTCTCTCAAAATGCTAGCGCAGAACGAATGATTTTGTTGTACATCTTTGCATTGGTTATTTTCTTGTGAGTATTAAGTATAATATTATTCAATTACATGTATATATATTAATTATCGAAAGAATTTTTAACAGATATCAAACCGGACGCTTGCGGATAGTGCGAAGACGTCGACAAAGAATAATAGTCCCTATGCCCAATGAACTATTTGGTAGGGACAAATTTTAAAATAGTGAAATTGACTATATAAAAGTTATAAAATTTTTACTGTATACTTATTTTAATGTTAAATTTCACTAGCCCAACAACAACAACAACAAGCTCCTACCGTGCAAGATCAAGAGGCACAATCACCCACGCAGTCAGATCAGAACAATAATGATCCATCTACATCTTCAACGTCGAGGCAGTCATCGTCTTCACCAGTGTTAAACGATAACTCAAATAACAATGCATCTTCCTCATCCTCGCAGCAGCAGAATGTAAATGATAATAATGGTAATAATAGTGCTAACGAAGCGCAACCAAACCCACAAGAGAACATTCGTTCAATCACCTGGCAAGACATTGAACATGCGATATGGACCTTTTTTACATCTTTGATCCCAACTAATCCACCAGATGTCGGGCAGCAGGATGAAGTAGGGATGTAGATAATAAATATTGGTTTGTGTCTTGCATATTAAGATAGAGAAATAAGAACAATGTCTCAATTAATTCGGACCATTAGATGATGAACCAACATCTCTTCATATTGCTATTAAATTAATCTATTTAATTTTTTGCATAAAAAACTTATCTAATCATGTTATTATGAAATATGAAATTGTAGGTCTTTTTGATACGATTTTTTATTTTAATCATAAAAACCATAAATTTTCTAATTAATATCGATTCTAATTTAGACTGTCTATATGTAGGCATGCATCAATTTTTAAATTTGTGATATGTATATTTTAACAGTATAAAAATCAAATTTAAAGCTTTTGTTAAATATACGACTTGGTGTAAAAGTTTTGAAGTATATTTTTTTAAACCGGCAATCAAATTACTGTAATAATATTGATATGTTATTACGGCGTGGTTACATCATACCAGATCGACCTTTCTGATTCTAACCATGTGAATTTGATTTTAGACGGATTTTTTTATAATTATCCAAAATTACCGAAAAGGTCATCAGTAGAAGATAGGTAGGTGTATGAATACACTACCTTATTACCTAAATACCAGCTAATGAGACTCTTTATGTAGTGTTGTTTGTCTTTCCAAATTTGGCTCGAAAATAACGATCAAAGATTATAATACTTTTCTTACAATTATGGATTATCTGGATATGAGTTAAATGATGACAATAAGACTGGCAATGCGTATATAATTGGTACGGCTAAAGCAGTATATGAGAATGTTATTTCACTGCTTCAAGATAATTTATTCTAGTTTGTTTCTTTTTATATAGTACACTATGAACCTAATGGATGTGAAGTTGAAATAGCTTCTGATATTGCTGTATATTCAAATATAACATTTGTATCAAGACTGCCTGCTTCTATTATAAAATCACATCTTTGTATTTTATATAATTTTATTATTATAATGTTTGTGAAATATATATATATATATATATATTTATATAGAAAAACATTATTACTTTATTAACTGTAAAATTGTTTAAACTTTACATAAAGAAAGCAATAATATCTCTTATATAACTTAAAAAGCTAATAAGTCTAATACTAGTTTGCCTATGTATAATTATTTAAACAGTAAGAAAAACAAATATTAAAACCATTATATGTCAAAAATAGTGTTAAATAGTTAAGGTCTCTATTTAAGAATATTAGTAAAAAAGAAAAGAAAAGAATTAACTTGATATATATTAATAATTAATAAATAACTTTTCATATTATAACTTCAGATTATACAGTTATAAATTTAAAAGAAATTAAATATAGATATGTACTTTTTAGTAAATACTCTTAAACTGTAATCTTTGATTAATACCAACTATTAAATTCAGAAGCTCTATAGCCAAGTGGAACATGACTTTAAAATTTTCTAATAAATATTTCAAAGAATTCAATTGGCTTAAGCTGCCAAATCTAGGCAAAAATATCAAGCAGAATACAATATCTATATATACAATATTTTATTTAAAAGTTAAGATAATGTTATATATTAGTATTTATATTATTGATTTTTTAAAAATTATAAATAAACTATTAATATGTAATAAATTATTATTATTATTATTATTATTATTGATATTGTAATGATAATAATTGATAGTATAATTTTTATAAAGTATAATTGATGAAAAAAATCTGTTAATCTTTTAAATAAAATAAACCAGTTTTAATTTTTTTGCATTCAATATATAAGTAAAAAAGAAATTAAATCAAAGGTTTTTCTTTATATAATTTTTATTATCAAAGTGTTTGAGTTTTGATAAATCCAATCAAAAGTCTTATCCTTATGTAATTTAAATCTTTTTAATCAAATTCTTAAAATTGAATTATATATAATAGAACTTGAAATATAATAAATTTATTGTATTAGTTTTTACAAAGATAACTTTTTATTTCAAAAAAAGAAAATCTGTTTTTTTATTCATTAAGCTTAGGATTTAATCTTTTATATATAATGTTAAAACTACTTAACCTAAATTTCTTAGATTATATATTAATTGGAATTAAAAAAAAACTTTTCTCACTTTCTTCCCTACATTTGAAAATTTTCTTTTTAGAAAATTTTTTAAATTGTTTTCTTTTTTCTTCACTTTTCTTTTTCCCCTAATACTATCTTTGTAAAAGTCTTAAGGAAACTGTTATAATTTCAAAAGACAGTGAACTTTAGTGTTTTAATTTTAAACGCCAACAGAAGTTGGGACTTTATTAAGGTCAAAA